AACATATAAAAGTAATGTTAGGAATAAGTATTAATTCTTGTAGGCTTTATGTATTATTATTGTATTAATATTAATAGGGCTAATGTTTATCTTAATAATGGAGAAAATAAACCGTAATATTGTTGCAAAGGATATATAGACATATGTATGATAATAAGATATACACTTTTGTGGATTAAAATCAGGTCTATTGATTTTTGCCGAATGTACATGTAATATATTTATTAAAAAAATAAAATGTATAGGCCTACATATATCCCAACTTGATTTCGATGCTTGGAAATAAATATCAAATGGAATTATGCATTTCTTCTCATTTTATTCAATGTCTGTGTTTACTTTAAATGTAATAGCTAAAATATCATTGTAGGCGAAGAACCGAAAGTGACGAAGAATTGCTTCATCAATAATAGTACTTTGTTTTTTAACTAGCAATGAAATCTAGAATAAAATCCTTTCCGAGGACACCCTCAACAAAAATAAATAAAACCGGAAATGACGTGGTTGCTAAGCAACAAGCTCATGCATAAACATGAATATTCAGTAACACCTGTTCTAATTAGACTAACAATAAAATCTTTTTGGTCGATTTTGACCAAAAGTGAGCTAAAAGTTTTTATTGTTAGTCTAATGAGAACAGGTGGTACTGAATATGCATGACTGTAGCCTAGCAACCGACGTCATTTCCTGTTTTGCAAAATTTGACGGCACCTTGCTTTGAAAATGTTCGTAATTTTTATCATGTGAATTTTTAAGTGTTTATAAGATATAGTAACAGCCTGTAATACTGGTATATTTGATTCGAACTGAGTATAATATATTTAATTCGATTATATACTGATTAATATCAAGAAATATATATTATTAATGCAATTACGACAAAGGAAGTACACACAATGATGTATTCTGAATTACACATCAGTTAACTTTTATTTCTTACTCGGAAATTTTGTATCAGGACTCCATAAACGTAATAGAAATAAAATACACATATTGTAGTTTTATAAAATATAATATAATATAATGCTTAGGCCTAATTATATTTTAGTATGTAATATCGTTCGAGGATTACTTGTTCGTTGTACAAGAAACATAAGTTGCAAACTTATTTGAAATTCCGATGATTCAGTGGTATAAAACATAATATATGTCCGCGCGCGATTATTTGCAGAAGACCACATAAATCCGGCTAATGATAGTACATTGTGTTCCGGCAAATTCATATACATCGTTTTCCGGTGATAATGATTGTACATCGACCTGACACTTCTTGATGGATCGGTAGATTTGACCTGAGACACTGAAATAAAAGAGATTCAAATAGTGAGAAATACATTCAAAACACATCTTCCATTTTTTATGACATTTATATTTTCATGAGGTATAGGCATGAAAATTCAGAAAATAGAATTAATTGTTTAATTGATTCAATACATTTTGTAAAGTGCTGGGGCGGATGCAGGTGGTGCAGACGGTACGACCGCACCCGCACCCCCACCCCCACTCTTTAAAATGTATTAAGAAAAATAATTGTGTATTGCATGTTGTGTGTTGATAAGAAGAGGGCGTATCGCATTGATCTGTTTAACGTGTGTACTTCAAATACCGGTAATAATGCTGCATTGGCATACCGTAGAGTGCAGAAACTCCGTTTA